TCAAAATTTAGAATATGACCTTGACCTTTGACCTTGGCCTCAATTTCATTTAAATGAACCAAGGAACTCAAATCAATATACCTTAGGTCTCTATCACTTACCATTCATGCTATACATTTATATATCCCTTATGTCAAATACAGAAGGGGAAATAACTCTCATATGGAGTTTACGTATCGCTTCGGTCAAAATTGGACAAAACATCCTGAGGATATAACGAGCAATTTGGTAAAATAAATTTGTCGCTTTCTTTTACGGTTACAGAGGAGATGCAGTCACAAGGAAAACAGTGTTCGGGGAGATAACTCCTACAAAGAAAATTGTTCGGCTTAGAATGGGTGAAAATAAAAAGCGCATAAACTGTAAGATATTATATAAGAAATATCTAAGTGACATCTTGCGAAACAAAAATTTTACGTGAGAACAAAATTAGGCGGAAGAAAATAATAATAATAATAATAATAATTAAAAACCAATTGTTCAGAGAACAATTGAAGGTCTTTCCACCCATGCAGATCAATTTTGATATAGAACTATGAAAATTCAGTTTGAAATATCATATCCAGCGTCAAATGATAGCTTATTGTAAACTGATTCCAAAAATATATGGTTTCTATACATTTTTCTCTAAATAAAGGAGATAAATTGTTACTTCCGGTTTGAAATATGTCACTTCCCCTTTTATTTGATAGTTTACTTGATACTGATTCCAAAAATATATTGTTCAATACACTTTACATCAAATAAGTACAAAACAAACATATTTCCGGTTTACACAAGGTCACTTCCGGTTGGCTTTTCAAGGTCATGTAAATTGCAACCTAATAAAAAAAGTCCCATGGCTTTATCGTGTTTAAATATGAAGTTAAAGCAAAGGTAAAAATCTAGAACATCAAATTTAACTTTGACCTTGAGCTCAATTTCAAGGTCATACACCAAGGACCTTTAATCATATTACCCTAGGTCTTTATTATACTTGGTAAATGAGTTATACCACCATACATGTAATTTTATATATAAAAAGGGAGAAAACTCTCTTTTACGGTCAACTTACCCTTTCAACCAAAATTCATGTGTTACGACATGTCGCAAATTACAATTTAGTAAAAATATTTTGTCGATATCTTGTACGGTTTTTGGAAGTAAGTGAAAATAGGCCCAAATCAAAATTTAGAATGTGACCTTGACCTTTTACCTTGACCTAATTTTTATTTTTTTGGACCAAGGACCTCAAATCAAAAGACCCTGGGTCTCTATCACTTATGGTTTACCAGTTAGAAATGCATATTACTTATATCACATGCATAAGGGGAAATAACTCTCATATGGAGTGTTCTTATCGCTTCGGTCAAAATAGGACAAATCATGCGAAGGATATAACGAGCAATTTTATATAATAAATTTGTCGCTTTCTTTTGCCGTTACAGAGTAGATGTAGTCACAAGGAAAACAGTGTTTGGGGAGATAACTCTTACAAAGAAAATTGTTTGGCTTAGAATGGGTGAAAATAAAAAGCGCATAAACTGTATGATACTATATAAGAAATATCTTAGCGACATATTGCGAAACAAAAATGTTACGCGAGAATAAAATTTGGCGGAAGAAAATAATAATAATAATCAGAACAAAAACAATAGGTCTTTCCACAGAAAAGTGGAAAGACCTAATAATCAGAACAAATACAATAGGTCTTTCCACAGAAAAGTGGAAAGACCTAATAATCAGAACAAATACAATAGGTCTTTCCACAGAAAAGTGGAAAGACCTAATAATAATTAAAAACCAATTGTTCAGAGAACAATTGAAGGTCTTTCCACATCAATGTTCTAAATTATTGATGAGAAGCTACATCCAGTTTACTCAAAATTACTATTGGCGTCCAAGCTTTGGTTTCTTCATACTGATTCAATTAATATATGGTTTCTATATACTTTTGCCTGAAATAAGGGAGATAATTGCCAACTTCCGGTTTAGAAAATGTCACTTCCGGTCTCATATGATAGCTTTATTTATACTGATTCCAAAAATATATGGTTTATATATACTTTTGCATGTAAAAAGGGAGATAATTAGCTACTTCCGGTTTAGAAAATGTCACTTCCGGTCTCGTATGATAGCTTTATTCACACTGATTCCAAAAATATATAGTTTGTATATACTTATGCCTGTAATAAGGAAGATAATATGCTACTTCCGGTTTATAAAATGTTACTTCCGGTCTCAAAAGATAAATTAACCTATGGTCATTCAAAAAATATATGGTTTCTAGGTACTTTTCCATGAAATAAGTGCAAAAATACTACTTCCGGTTCACTCAAGGTCACTTCCGGTTGACATTTTTCAAGGTCATATGTCAACCAACAGTTTGCAAAAGACCCTATGGCTTTATCATTTAACAAGTTGGAGTAATAATCAATTAACCTTAAATTGAATCATTTCAGGGACAATAACTCCTATAAGATGTCATTGGATTGTTTCACACCAAATGTATCATATCTTAATCACAATTAGGCAAACATTTTGCACTTGTTCTTTAATTTGTATCTTTAAAAGTGACAGAGGAGATCAAATAACAAGGAAAAGTCAAAATTTAGAATATGACCTTGACCTTTGACCTTGGCCTCAATTTCATTTAAATGAACCAAGGAACTCAAATCAATATACCTTAGGTCTCTATCACTTACCATTCATGCTATACATTTATATATCCCTTATGTCAAATACAGAAGGGGAAATAACTCTCATATGGAGTTTACGTATCGCCTCTGTCAAAATTGGACGAAAGATCCTGAGGATATAACGAGCAATTTGGTAAAATAAATTTGTCGCTTTCTTTTACGGTTACGGAGGAGATGCAGTAACAAAGAAAACAGTGTTCGGGGAGATAACTCCTACAAAGAAAATTGTTCGGCTTAGAATGGGTGAAAATAAAAAGCGCATAAACTGTATGATATTATATAAGAAATATCTAAGCGACATCTTGCGAAACAAAAATTTTACGTGAGAACAAAATTAGGCGGAAGAAGAAAAAAATAATAATAATAATAATAATAATAATAATTAAAATGTCAATTGTTCTTGAACAATTGAGAGGTCTTTCCTTTTCATAATATAAAATATATGTTTCAATAGGCGTAGAATGCATTGAAAAGCTCTAAAACACACACAAAACCCTTAAAATATGGTCAAAAACACATAATTCGAAATTTGGGACATGACCTTGACTTTTGACCTTATGACCTTTGTCAAGGTCATTGGTCCACGATGTCATAACAAAAGACCCCATGGGTCTAGGACCTTTGGTTCATGAGTTAAAGCTTATTTTGTCTTTTCTAAAACAGTTAACAGGGGTTATGCCCCTTACAGATAGGTCAAATCTCTTCGGCCAAAATGTAAAAAAGTTGCGCCCTTATGTCCCAATTATTTTTCACTATTTACTGTTTTTGTAAGTATTATCGTTTTTGAGATATCCAATAAATAAGTTTTAAGGTCAAAGGTCAATGTCAACCTCAAAAAGCTTTAAAACACACTAAAAATTCTTTAGATAAGGTCAAAAACACTTAATTCGCTATCTGAGACATGACCTTGACCTTTGACCTTGTGACCTTTGTCAAGGTCATTGGTCTCATGTCATTGCTGAAGACCTAGGGGTCTAGGACCTTTGGTTCAATAGTTAAAGCTGATTTTGTCTTTTCAGAAATAGTTAACGGGGGTTATGCCCCTTACGGATAGGTCAAATCTCTTCGGTCATTACGTAAAAAAGTTGCGCCTTAATGTCCCAAACAGTTTTCACTATTTACTATTTCTGTAAGTATAATCGTTTTTGAGATATCGAATAAAAAGTTGTAAGGTCAAAGGTCAAGGTCAACCTTAAAAACCTTTAAAACACACTTTAAATCCTTTAAATAAGGTCAAAAACACATAATTCGCTATCTGGGACATGACCTTGACCTTTGACCTTGTGACCTTTGTCAAGGTAATTTGTCACCAATGTCATTGCTGAAGACCCCATGGGTCTAGGACCTTTGGTCATATAGTAAAAGCTGATTTTGTCTTTTCAGAAACCTAAAACAGGGGTTATGCCCCTTACAGAAAGGTCAAATCTCTTCGGTCAAAATGTAACAAAGTTGCGCCTTAATGACCCAAACATTTTCCACTATTCAAAACTTCTGTAAGTATAATGGTTTCTGAGATTATCCCATAACAAGGTGTAAGGTCAAAGGTCAAGGTCAACATACAAATTTGACCTTGAGGCATTTTAAAAGTCACATGAATTGATGATCATTGGTGAAGATCCTAGATGTGTACGACTTACGGTTTCTGAGTTTTGATGGCCAACCGACACCGGTTAATTTTCAAAGGGGCATAACCCTACCAATGAGTCGTTGAATCTTTTCGATCCAAATGTAACGAAGAACCGGGGTCTGGTCCTGAACAAATTTCACCCTTTGCCTTTTTTCTACCTATTACGGTTACGGTGTTTGAATGATAACAAGGTTTTTAGGTTTCGGAGGGATAACTCCGGACCGACAAAATTTTACGACTCACAGGGTGAGTTCCGGATAGGTATTTGTGACACCGATACAAAGTGTGAACCTGAAAGCGACATGGCTTACGGTTACGGAGGGAAATTTTATCAAAGTTTGGCGGAACAAAAAGAATAATTATAATAAGAATAATAATCAGAAGAAATACAGTAAGGTCTTTCCCTTTTGGAAAAGGAAAGACCTTAATAATAATAATCAGAACAAATACAATAGGTCTTTCCACAGAAAAGTGGAAAGACCTAATAATAATAATAATCAGAACAAATACAATAGGTCTTTCCACAGAAAAGTGGAAAGACCTAATAAATAAGTATAATCTACATGTATTTACCTGAGTTTACCTGTAAATGCCCGCAAATGTAATTAAAAGCTGCGCGCAAACGTAATGTTTTTTTTTTGTGCGCAAATGTAATGGTAATGCGCGCAAATATAATGCACCGAAATGATTCGCTATTATTAAGAACATAAGTATTGGTGTCGTCCACACTGTTACTGGTTTGCCTCTAAATAAACATGTTGTATGACATTGTCTTTATTTACAATTTTTCTTTCAATTGCTTGCAAAAACATGTTCGAGTTTGGAGCTTTTACAATAGGTTGTTATTATAATTATTCTACAAAAAGCTGGTTAATATTCGACTATGTCATATTAGAAAAGAATTTGTTCTTAGCAATAATAAAAAGGCAAATTATAGTTTTTCATATCTTAGACTTATTTCCTGTTTTGATTTATATAACATTTCTTTTATTTTATTTTCTTCAATTTATAAATAGCCATAAGGTGCATATATATATATCCATGGCTGAACTTATGAGTTTGTGAGATCTTTACTGTCTAAAATTTGGATTTGAACGTCGAGCATATTACTACCATAAACTCCAAATACAGGACATAGTTCATTTACAGAGACAACATTTTCGAAAGAAATATTTGAATGCGTAGCACTCAAATCTTGTAACTGGAACGTATTATTTTGTCTGTCTAAAACCAAGTCAAAAGTACCATTTTTGTGCAGCCCGATAATATTACGACTAAAAAAGATATTGTCGAGCAAGTTTTCCCTGTGTTTTGAACGTAAGCACACGTCATCATTATCCTCTCCGCATCTGGCAAGAGCAAAAGACCAACCTTTTGTCTGCACATTTCCAACGAAATAATGATTGTCTATTTCATTCCGATCTGCAAGTCCAACCTCTAATATCAAATTGGTGAATGATAAAAGTCTTTCAATGGTATATGTGTAGGCAACTTTGAACCAAACTTTCTTCTTTACTCCAAAGCAGCGATTTGCGATTACACCACTGTACTTTTTCAAAGACTTATCTCCTTCAGAAGACCGTTTTGGTGTTTGTGATGAATGATGTCTATTGCTCAAGATTCTGTTATCGATTGACAAAAAACATTCAGAATTAAGAGTAGCTGGGTCAAAATGCATGTCAATAGCTGGTGCTGAAATATATAAATTATGAATCAGGTGTATCAGCTCTATCTTTTTTTTGTTCATTGTGAAATACAGTTTACTGAAAAATGAATATTAAAGCAATATACACATCCTCAATTTTAATCATATTAAAAAGTATACGTTATGTGCATATTTGTATATACACGATGTCCTTCGAATATTACTTATTACAGATCTACGACCGACATGAAAATGAACAGTAAACGTCTTCCAAACTTGTTCTGCACTCATGCAGTTTGGAAATTAACAAATACACAAAAGGAGTAGGTTCGATATAAGGCCCTAAATGGCCCCTTATTTCTAGCTAAAAGGACAAGGTACGATAAGCCCCCGTTTTGGCACCCCTATTTTCTCAATTTTCAAATTTTGTTTTGGAAAGCTACTTATTATGTTGAAATATTCCCTTAGGTTTGAAAATTGTTTGGATGAACTTCAAAACCATTAATTTCAGCAACTAGGTGAGGTGAGGGGATGAAAGGGCATCAAAAACGCCAAAAGTAGGAAAAATTACGATTTTTGGCTTGTGTTTCTTAAAATTTGATAGCGTGCGCCTACGTGACCCGGAGAAAATTATGGCGATCTAGACAGCAAAAACAGTGATAATGACATTGTAATAAAAAAATTCCTGGGTCACGTTGGCGCAGGCACTTAAAAACTAAAAATCGTTGTACGGAACACCTCCAAAGTGAATAATAATTACAATATCTGAATAATAACGGAAAGTTTACCCCCCTCACCTCACCCAGTTGCTGAAATTAATGATTTTGAAGTTCATCTAAACAAACTTCAAACCTCAGGGAATATTTTAAAATGATAAGTAGCTTTCTAAAACAAAATAAGATAAATAGGAAAACAGGGGGGGGGGGGGGGGGGGGGGGGTGGGGGGGGGGGGGGGGACAAAACGGGGGCTTTTCGTACCTTGTCCTTTTAAATTAGGATTTATTGACCAATATCACAATAAATCATAGCTAATACAATGAATAGATAGGAAATAGGTATTTTTGTTGAAATTATACGTACTTGGGTTCTATTTATGACGTCACAAATAGCACTCATTTTGATTTTGGACGAAAATTCAATGAAAACGGGTCAGTTTACATTGACTTTTGGGACAGGTAACATAGAGCGCATGCGTCGACAAAAAATTTCTTAAAATAATGTTTGCTATGACATTTTACATAATTATTTAACTTAAATATTTAGTTTGTCAACTCCTGCGCTCTGTGTTTCCTATGGCTTAATTAGATTGAAATGAGGACGATTTTGTCAAATTTCGCAAACATCTCTATTTTTGACCTACTCTAGTATTTGGGATGAAAAAATCAACACTTTAGAATAAGATTTTGACAAAATGGTTCTAGTTAACTTTCTCACATGTTCTTATTTCGTTTTTTCTTAGAACATTGAACTTAAATAGTCGAGACCAAATATGCCTCTTACCGAACTTACTCCTTTGCTTATTGGTATGTCAGTGCTCCCTTAATTTTCCTAATATTTTTTTTCTTCACTTTTAAATTGTAACGTTGAGTACATTTATTATACCTTGACATCCAATGCCACCAAGATTGCAACTTTTAGTTTGATTTTCAGTTCTGGGTAAACATCCTTCTGTGCCACCATTATGTTGCCTGTTCCTATGTTGTGTGCCATTTCCGCATGAAACACTACATTCCGACCACTGTGTCCATGCTGTCAATACACATGATGACTTATTACCCGTCCCTACAATATATGTAAACATAAAGTATGGAGGAGGAATGTATTTAAATGAATCACGTTAAAACAAGTTTATATACAATGAATAAAAACATTTTGAATACACTTTTCCATATTATAATAAGCGAACACTCGAACATATAACAGTTATTGGTATTTCAGTGCTCCCTTAGTTTTCCAAAAAAAAATTTTTGTTTTACTTTTAAATTGTAACGTTGAGTACATTTATTATACCTTGACATTCAATGCCACCAAGATTGCAACTTTTAGTTTGATTTTCAGTTCTGGGTAAACATCCTTCTGTGCCACCATTATGTTGCCTGTTCCTATGTTGTGTGCCATTTCCGCATAAAACACTACAATCCGACCATTGTGTCCATGCTGTCAATACACATGATGACTTATTAACCGTCCCTACAATATATGTAAACATAAAGTATGGAGGAGGAATGTATTTAAATGAATCACGTTAAAACAAGTTTATATACAATGAATAAAAACATTTTGAATACACTTTTCCATATTATAATAAGCGAACACGCGAACATATAACAGTTATTGGTATTTCAGTGCTCCCTTAGTTTTCCAAAAAAATTTTTTTTTTTTTTACTTTTAAATTGTAACGTTGAGTACATTTATTATACCTTGACATCCAATGCCACCAAGATTGCAACTTTTAGTTTGATTTTCAGTTCTGGGTAAACATCCTTCTGTGCCACCATTATGTTGCCTGTTCCTATGTTGTGTGCCATTTCCGCATAAAACACTACAATCCGACCATTGTGTCCATACTGTCCATACACATGATGACTCATTACTCGTCCCTACAATATATATAAACATAAAGTATGGAGGAGGAATGTAGTTAAATGAATAACGTTAAAACAAGTTTATATACAATGAATACAAACATTTTGAATACACTTTTCTATATTATAATAAGCGAACACGCGAACATATCACATAGTTTTCATAATTTACTATGAGTTTGAATATCGCTTTGATATTTTTCGCCTCTCCTTTACTAAATAATCATAACATCGCCTTATACATATATACGTATTGTCGCCACAGGATAACATATGCTTCGTCTGAATTTTGACCAAAAATGTTGCATATGTATCTGTTAATTTGCATTAGTATTTGTTTCCTGTTAGCGGGATTTTTTCTCCTTTTTCTATGACATCGTGACAGTATCGAATTCAATTTATTAATTCAATGTTACCTTTTGCCTACGCATAATACCAAGAAGAAGAAGAAGGGTCCTATTTTTTTTTTACCTTTTCTTTTTGTTTACAAATATAGCTCTTTTGATGCAGAAAATAATGTCTAAATCTTATTATGTAATATTTATAGTTCATTGCTCATGAATAAAAAAGGATCTGGGTATATATGTTTTATAAATGAAGCAGCAACCCAAAAATAGAAAAATATAATACAGACAAGGCCAACATATTGCCTTGAATTAAGCAAAGGTGTCAAAATGTCAAGATCTTAACCGACATGATTCTAGAGAAGCAGTACTTAAATAAGATTTACAGAGATTATAAATTAGATATCTTCCCTTATTCAAAAATTCAAAATTCCCTTTCCATGTGCTTATATATGTATGTGGCTAGCTAGTTTCCAAAGTTTCCTGCCACTTTCAAACTGAAACTGAAGTGCCTTCTGTCCACCCAAGTCAATAGGAGAAATAACTGATGTATTTTTTTTTATTTTCAACGAACGTAAGAGTTATGCCGCTTTCTGCAGTTATGCCAAGTTTGCCAAAAAAATATGTTTTAACAAAAAAATTACCTTTTAAGTTCGAATGATACATTTAATAACTGCAGGTGCAATTTTGGGGAAAAGTTGCATCGTCCACATGCAAGTTCTTACTTGGCATTTTGTCTATTTACAGAATACACAGTACACATTGATCACTTTGTTTACAAATTAGTACAACGTGTCTTTTATCATGTTTATACAAGTGTTGTATTCCTGTTGTACCGTAGGTTAAATACTCTACTTACTTTCCGGTATTGTTTAAGGAAGTCCGATATCTTTCTAGTTCACAGACTAATTTGATAGAGTTATAACTGTCTTTAAAAAGTTTTAATAAGGTGTAGATTTACATTTGCAAACATTGTACAAAGTAGAAAGTAAAATGCAGAACATCTACATATATTATATAGATGTATTCTTTAGCCAATTATAAATCGTTTTACTACATGTTAAGTACTCTAAAATATTGTGTTATATACTTGGAGATATAGTTATCATTCAATTTATACTACTAATAGTAAATCAGAAAAAGAGAAAAATAAACAAGCAAACAAACAAACAAACAAACGAAATACATGGCTCCATTTAATTGGTGTGGTTTAATTTCTTACTAAATCGAAGTACTTTGTAAACAGTTATTGTATACACAACCAAACGAAGAAAATTGCGAGAATAAATCGTTGGAAAATCGATTGAAACGGGATAAACGCGAAAAAGTATGCTCGAAATTAAATTTGTTTACAGTCATTGTATATTTATAAACATTAGGATTATATGTCGTAAAACATACTTTGTTTTATTATTTGTACTTTGTCCTGTTTTATTATAATAAAAGTTAAAAAAAGTACGTAAACAAGTGTAACACAAAAACCAAACTCCAAGGCAGATTCAAAAACGCTAAGTCCATAAAAACTGACAAAATCAAACGCTATCAATCAAAGGAAAAAGGTAAAAAAAATAACAGCCATATTCCTGACTTGGTACATGCATTTTCTGAAGAAATGGTGGGTTAAACCTGGTTTAACATGTAACTTGTAACGTAATCTAATATGCGTAACTTGACAACAGTAATATGATTTGAAATATATTTTGGTTTAAAATTAATAACAGCAACCCATGTTTCAACCGCTGTCGGCCAATCAAACATTGTAATAGGTATATTTATAAGCAAATACTTATTCTGTTTCATTAAAATAAAAATTAAAATTAAAAAAAAAAACAGGGAACAAACCCAACTTATAGCATTCTTACTACATACCGTTTTAAGGTATTCGTGCACAAGAATTTCCAAATGTTTCACTATTATTTCTGAAGGACTACTCAAAGAACCCAAAGTCTATATATATTTTAATTTGAATTTCCTACTAACCCGATATATTTGTACCACATATATAACAACATGGTCATCTAAGTAAATTGATTTATGTCTAAAAACGGTCAAAATGATCATATTATAGTATCATCAGAAAAGCCAGAACCGAAAAAAGTAATTTTTCAGATATTTTCTTGTACATTGTAAATTCAGTAATGTTCAGACATTTTGCCACTGGTCAATGAAGTATTGTGCAATATAGCTTTTCCCACAATTCAAATGCTGTTTACAACTACTGAAAAGAATGAATACATTTCTCAATTGTCAGTTAGAGAATTTCCGGAACAATACTGAATTTACCACAGTGTATAAGTCTGAATTTTTACTGAAAGACTTAATATGACTTCATAATTTGTTATTCAGTTTTTAAGAGGCCTGGTGTTAAAATCAGAAAGATTTATTAGCGACGAATATATATAAATATATATAGATGCATACACATTGATATTTATATACTTTACCATTGCCTGGAAATATACAGTTCCCATTATCAGCATCTTGATTTTGGATTTTGAGTACAGCGAAGACTATTATTCCAAATACAACACCACCAAATATAAAGCCGATCAGAAAAGATGCGATATGCTTTCTTGTTTGATGTTTTACAGTTTTACCATTCTTGTCTTTTTTATTTTGAGAATTACTTGGAAATGAAGCATACGCATAACTTCGTTCTTGTTCAAGATCAATGTTGTCCATGTCATGTAAAGGGCTACAATATGAATGCTCAGACTTTTGTGACGCATGGAAAGTACTGTTTATTTCTAAAATAAGTTCTGCTTGTCTTCTTTCTTTCCGTTCAACGCTTTGTGTTCGGGAATAGTCTCCACTCTGTGATTTTTTTAAGATATCATATGACTTGTTTTGATCACGTGCGCTATTTAACGTTTCATAACCTGGAGTCTCTTCAAATTTCTTGTCGGTTTGTGCTATTTTACCACAAGCTTTGCTCATGGAATTTTGTTGTGCGAAATACTCTCCTTTCTGTTTATTTTGTAATGTATCATATACGTTTTGGCATTGACTATGTTTACTATTAAGTCTTTCATAAGGAACGCTTTCTTCAGTTTCCCTTTTATTATGTTTCTTTATCTTGCTGTGTGCGCTCTTTTCCCTAGAATTTTCTACGATCTGTGCATTTTTTAAAGTATCATAATTGCGGCCATAGTCCGATTTACTTTCCTCTTCCAATCTCTCATACATCTGAATAGAATTTGATGCATTTATAGGCGAGCCTAAAACAGCCATTTTATACTACTGATCGTTTTTGTTTTCAGTTAAATTTTACCGTTTGTATCAAATATACATGCGCAGGACGTCTATTAAATGCACATCTACTACATGTATATATACTTAGGTTATTCAACCACAAAAGAAATTCATTTCTGTATCGTGTATAGTTGTTTACGGATACATCTTTACTTAAAAAGAAATAACGATTGTTTCTTTTCTCGTACATATTTAAAACTGGGTTAATTTCATTGGTCAATTAGTTTGACGTTTTTAACAAGGATATAACTTATCTGATCAATAAATGAAGTGTTGTGAACTTTGTGGTGTACTCTAGATGACAATATTCCATTTATTGAAAAATAAATCGACTTCGTTTCAAGCTTTAGAATCTTTCTGAGGGAGAAAAAAAAAACATCTCCTAGGTAGGACAGAGTGTATTGCCTGTCAATGTTTACCTTGTGGATAACACATATCTTAATATTCATAGGCTGTTTATAACTTTTTCTTTCAGTTAGTTTTCAAACCCTTTTTACCCTATAGAGATGATGTATTAACAAAGTAAAAATTGCTTTTACCTTGCTTGGTCCATTTGTTTGTATAGACAGAGGCCTTATTTGACCCAACTAAAAGTTGTTTTCCCGTGCAATAATAATTTAAAATTGGAAACAAAATAAGTCTGGAAAATATGATTTATTTTATTATTTGTAATAAGCTTTGAACTAGCTTTCAGTAACTGCGAGTACACTCCGGTCGATACTTTGGGTCTTAAATATTTTTGTGAGTTGTTTTTTGTAGTTGTGTCGATCTAATGAGTCAAGTCTTTTTCAACCGATATGATAATTTGTTCTTACGCTGTACTGTTACACCGCTGTCTTAAGTTAAGGGGATGGTTTAACGCTCGCTAACATGCTTAACCCTAATACATTGTTAATGTGCCTTTCCAAAGTCGGGAGCCTGTTATTCAGTGGTTGTCGATATATATATAGTCGATGTCTATCATATTTGTTTTTCGTCTTTTGTTTTGTACATAAGTCATTTCGTGATCTTTTATTGCTTACTCTACGGTATGGTTTTTGTTCATTGTTGAAGGTCGTATGGTGACCTATTGTTGCTTACATCAACGTCATTCGATATCTGGCGAATAGTTGTCTCATTTGCAATCATGCCATATCTTCTTATTTTTTATAGCTAATATTGAAAAAAACATGATTATTGCATGTAGTGTTCCGTGATATGCAAATATCTGTGAATTATGGAATGGACCATGAAAGGCGCAGTCATCTACGAACCTTTTTATGTCCTCCAAAGACCAGTGTGTATGATGTTTCTTGTGCTTTTCATATTTCGGTGTACTTGTGTATGTGAAGCTTTTCTGGGGAAACATTACTTAACCTGGCGGGACTGTAGCTATTAACAATAGTTAAAAATATATACATGAGATTTGAGAGAGAGAGAGACTCGTTGATGTTTTAGTTTTTAATGAAAACTGTCGAGTAAGTATGAACATTTGGAATAAAAACGTTTTTTTAACATGAAGGACAGACAAAAACATGATGTATGGATAGGTACAAATCATGGTGTATGCATATACATTTAAATTATATAACGTTAATATGCACGCAATGATGACGAAGGACATTTAATAGTCCTCAATTAATCAATCCATTTATCAAAACTACTGCACACACCCTTGTAAAGCTGTTAAACAATGTGTATCGTTTAATTTGTACTAACATACATGTATTTTTTTTAAATAACCACAATGTCCCTTTTGATACATTTATACTGGAGTATCGAAATAGTTTCCGTCGAACGGGAATTTTGACAACTTGTAGACGTATCATGTGATATATTTCTAGGCACCTTCAAAGTCTTTCTCAATGTCGAATTGAGCAAATGGAATTGTTTAAAATGAATTGAAATTATAATTTTTGATCATATGTATGACGCGGAATTAGGATCATAAATATCGAATTTAGCATATGCTTAAATCATTTTAGCATATGCTATATTATAATTAAGCATATGCTATATTATAATTTAGCATATGCTAAAATGATTTTAGCATATGCTTAAATCATTTAGGGTATGCTTAATTCATTTAAGCATATGCTAAATTCAATTCAGCATATGCTGAATTATTAAGCTTATACAGAAATGTAGGCGCGGAATCAAGGTCATAATTATTCTACAAATCTATTTCAGCATAAGTTTAACGCATTTCAGCATATGCTAAATTCATTTCAGCATATGCTTAATTCATTTCAGCATATGCTAAATTCATTTCAGCATATGCTTAATTCATTTAAGCATATCCTTAATTCAATAAAGCATATACTGAATTGCTGAATTTAAAGAAAATATCATCCAATGAGTGCATCCGTTTCATAAGGGGCAACACTTTGATTTCTAGGGGGTGGCAGGAAGAATTTTTATATCCGAAATATGTATTCTGCTTTGTTTTCGCTCTATCTCTGGAAGGTTTTTCTAAGATAATATCGTGCTTTTTTTATTATCTCATCTTTTGAAACCTACCATTTTGTTTTGTCCAATATTCAGGTCCTGCCTTTTTTCAATTTCATCATAGACCCCCCTCCTATAAAAATCAAATGGTAGCTCCCTATATATATAAATGTTGAATTTCACTGCAGACCTTTAATAACCTTAAGACGATCACTGTAGAGCGTTTTATCATCTAAACATTTAATGTTGTTTCTTAATGTAAATACATATATAAAAGGGGGACTAGGGCCCTCTGTCATCCCGCTAAATACGCCTCTGCTACCAATTATTAATAAGTCGATTTTGTATAAACATTAAATTTTAGCCAGGTCTCGCATGTCGGAAAATTTATTGACACGTGTTTGTTGTTTAAATAAAATTCTATGTGTAATTGTGTATACATTGTATTCGATCTTTTAACCCTTAACGGTGCTTTCGATATACAATGTGTACATTTGTGGCCGATCGCGTGAATGAAAATGTCACTACTGTGTGGGTTTAAAAGGGTCGAATACAATGTATACAAAATTATACATTAAAATATAGATGACAAGTTGAGATTGGAACAAATGATGTTTTTAAAATTAAGTTTTCGAGTAGTTCTGTTTTTGATCGTTTTTAACTTTTGCCACCCCTTTTTACATGTTACAGGAGGGGTCAGTGCCACACATCGAGGGACTTCAAACCATTTGATGAGCTTTCCGGCGTTATATGGCTTTCATCTAGACTATTAGGATGTTAGGAATTATAGGCAACCATACGGCTTTCAACAATGACAAAAACCCATACCGTATAGTTGGCGATATTTTTTTTACAAAAAATAAAAAATAAGTCGACAGACATGAACCAACGACAACCACTGAACTATAGGCTCCTAATTTGGGACAGGCACATACAAAATATGCATGCAAATAGAGTTAAACATGTTTGTGAGCGTTCAACCCATTCCTGAACTTTGTCAGTGGTGTAACAGTACAACATAAGAACAAACTGTAAAATCAGTTGAAAATAGATTAAAAGATCGGTACAAGACCCACAAAAAAAACCACACACACTAACATTTAGACAATAGCTAAAGACACAAAGTATCGAAATAAGAGTATGTACAATTACTGAAAGTTTGTCCAAAGCGTATTATACTAAGACTGAAATAAATCTTGTTCTCTCAGACTCAAGTATCAATCACTACACAACCAACAGATTAAGTCATAAACAGTCTGAGAAACGCCATGACCTTGTATTCTACAATTCAGATTTTCGAAAAGTTGTGATCCGAAAGTTTTTGACCATCGAAATTTTGCAATAGAAATAAAAGTTAGGACTAGCAGATTTTCTTTAAGGGCCACCATCATCTACATATCATATACAAGGCAAAAGTCGACAAATTATTGAATAGTTTAAGATCATTCCTGAAAATCAAATGGTCTAGGCTTTAAGTCAGATTGGTTAAGCAAAATTTAGTTAGGAAAGCAGTTAGAAAAAAAGTCACAAACACAGCGATTTCTTCCAACCAATTGACTTTGTTTTAACACTTATTGTATAATTACATCAAATGCCAAAAACAGAGCACAGTTCCAATGGGCCAAAAGGCCCAGGTGGTACAACTCATGGTTTGTCTTCACCATAGGTACGAACTTGTGTCTACAGGGTCTAACATGCCTACCTCTATTTTTTTAAAAGTCTGACAAAAAATCCTAACGGTAAATCATTGTTACCCACTAGGTACAAATGATAGGTAATTGTCTAAGGTTCAATGGGCCTAAAGACCCAGGTGGGACAATTCATGGTTTGTCTAACCATAGGTCCAAAGATAGATATTTTTAAAAATGCCTAGCCCCAATTTTTGAAAATGTGTCAAATTTTCCCTACGACAATACTTTTTTACCCACAAGGTGCAATTTATGGGTAATGGTCTAAGGTCCAATGGGCCAAAAGTCCCAGGTGGGACAACTCATGGTTTGTCTTCAATAGGTCCGAACTTGGGTCTAAAGGGTCTAACATGCCTACACCGAATTTTTGAAAGAGTGTCAAAAATTCCCTACGGCGATACTTTTTTACCTACTAGGTGAATTTGATAGGTAATAGTCAAAAGTCCGATGGGCCAAAAGGCCCGGTTGGAACAACTCATGATTTGTCTTCATCAAAGGTCCGAGTTCTCGACATAATCTAGATGTAATTTATGTATGATTTACATATCCGACAAGAAGTGGCAATCTGACCTTGACCTCAGTTTCATAGTTTATTGGCCAATTTTAAGTATTGGTGATTAAAGGTCTGAATATCGGATAATAAATTAAAACATTCATGAAAGATACCATGCAGATGTATAACTGTATTCTCCAAACTCGCGTTTTCCTACAAAGGATTCATCAGTGACGGTCGATTAAAAAAATATGGAACTAAGAATAATTGGTAAGATTGCCAATGAAGCTACTCTCTACAAGAGACCAAATGTCTTTAGTGATAGAGACTGCATGACACCATACGACACTCAACGCGGAGCAGAAATCTTCACCTCATAGACCATCAAAAAACGTGAAAATCATCGGCATTATTTTTAAGGCATAAACC